GGCTCCCTCCTCACTAGAGTTTTGCTAAAAACCGAAAGCGGTTTTACCCCCGGTGCACCTTGGCCCCCACCTTTCGGCCTCAAGCCATTGAGGGGTCTTCCTACCTTGAACAGTAGAGGCCAGTACCACCATTGCTAGAGCCACTTTCTGCTGGGGGCTGTGTGTCTGCACGAATGGTGCTGCTCACAGCCACCCTGCGTAGGAAGAATTAGGGTGTCCATTTCTGTAAGTGGAGACCCCGAGGTGCTGGGTGACTTTCCAAACCAAGGTTGCTCAGCTCGGGATGTTCACACTGGGCTTCAGAGCAGGCCTTTCGGCCCTAACACGTCTGCTCTTGCTCCGGGGCGCGCTTCCTAGACCTGCCTCTCCTGGCAGAGGGGGCTGTACCCATCCTCCGCTCCTCCCCGTGATCTGAGGGAGTGGCCAGGAGTAGCCCTGCTCATCCTGCTCAAGGATGAAATCTCTTTGAAGCCCAACTTTGGCTTAAAAACTCACGTTAATGTTTGGATTTTCCTTCAGTATCCGTTTTCAGTGCCTCACCATCCTTAACACTGCCCTCCCTCCTGTGGTGGGACGGGCTCTGGGGGCGGGGTTGCCACCTCTGCGCCATGGCTTTGTCTTCCCTGCACAGACTCTGGTTAGAGAAGCTTGGGGTAGTGCTGTTGTGAGCAGAACACAGATGCCCTGTAGCTAGTGGTGCGCTGCACCCCTAGAGCTCACTGTGGTGTGGGGGTGGGAGACGAGGGGAGTTTTGACCTTCGGGCCAGAGCCTGGGCCGCTTTCCTGATGCCCTCACTCCGTGCCCCCAGGACATTCACCACGGCAATGGCACCCAGCAGGCGTTTTACAACGACCCCTCTGTGCTCTACATCTCCTTGCATCGCTACGACAATGGGAACTTCTTCCCAGGCTCTGGGGCTCCTGAAGAGGTACAGCTACTGGGCTTCAACATGGGGCCCCGCGGGGAGGTAGCAGAATGAGACCTGGCAGGCGGTTCTGGAGGCCCTTCGTGGTGCTGGGCCCCGGGGAGTCTGGGCTCCTGGTGGGAGGACCGTGCCGGCAGCTGCCCCTCCACACAGAGCAGAGGTCAGTGGAGTGAGGGCTGGAGGCAGGGCTGAGGGCGGGGCACCATCTGGGGTCCCCAGGCAGTGAGAATAACCCCTCCCTCACCATGCTGCCAGGTTGGCGGAGGGCCGGGCGTGGGGTACAATGTGAACGTGGCATGGACGGGAGGTGTGGACCCCCCCATCGGAGACGTGGAATACCTAACAGCCTTCAGGTGGGGACTGAGAGGGGCCGGGGAGGGGGGGAGCCCCCGGGCCCTGCCCCCGGGAAGGGTAGAGCCACTCAGTTTGGTGTAGGTGGAGGGGGTTGTCTCGGGGGGACACAGTGGGGCTCGGCCTGGCTCAGCCTCCTGCCAGGGTCAGCTTGGGCCCTCCCTTTGCAGGACAGTGGTGATGCCCATTGCCCACGAGTTCTCACCTGACATGGTCCTAGTCTCCGCCGGGTTTGATGCTGTTGAGGGACACCTGTCTCCGCTGGGTGGCTACTCTGTCACCGCCAGATGTGAGCCTGCTGAGGGATTAAGGGAGGCTGTGGAACAGTAAGGACGGGGTTGAGTGGGGGCGTGGAACAGTTACAGACTGATACTGCACAGTTGGAAGGACAGCTGAGGCAGGCCCAAGACTTGGAATCACCCTGGCAGTGCCCTCCCACCTCCCTCTGCCAACCTTGGCCTTGAGGGGCTAGCGAGGAAAGGCTGTCGAGGGTAGCGGAGGCTGCACCTCCTCCCAGAGTCGTACGGATGGAACTTGTTGACCCTCCTGTCACAGTGATGTTCCTTATAACACGCGTGATTGCACTTTTGAAGCCAGTCTGTTATGCTTTGTCTTCAATGGAGCATTTAGTCATTGACCTTAAATTTATTATGAATGTGTATGTATACATTTGAGTTTAAATCTGTCATCTTTGTGCTGTTTGTCCCACCTCGTGTTTCTCTTTCTTTTCTTATTTTCTCTAATTGATTTTTTAACCATTTAACTCCCTTTACTCCTTCCTAAAGGTTTTGGTCACCTGACCAGGCAGCTGATGACGTTGGCAGAGGGCCGGGTGGTGCTGGCCCTGGAGGGAGGCCACGACTTGACCGCCATCTGTGATGCCTCTGAGGCCTGTGTCTCAGCTCTGCTTAGCGTGGAGGTGAGGAGTGCAGGGAGAGGTGGGGGGATGTGGGCCAGTAGGCCAGGGGCTGAGGGGCTGGGGGAGAGGGCCCCTTCCTTGGTCAGGCAGCACTGAAGGTCCCTGGGAAAGTCGTCCTGAGTCCTAAGGACAGCTGGTGGCCATGGAGGGCTCTCTGAGTCGGGGTGCTCCCGTCACGAGGTGTCTGAGGCTGAATGAGCTGGGCATAGCAGCAGGCACCACCCACTCCCTACCCTAAGCCTTCTCTTTCCCTTGCCAGCTCCAGCCCTTGGACGAAACGATCTTACAGCAGAAGCCCAACATCAACGCAGTGGCCACGCTAGAGAAAGTCATCGAGATCCAGAGTGTGTGGGGACAGGTGGAGGGGCTCAGACCTTGCCGAGGGGGCGGGCCTTAAAGGTGCATCAGGGCTGGGCATGTGCACGGAGGGGCTTCTGTCCTCCCTGACCCCCTGCGCCTTTCGCACCCACAGGCAAACACTGGAGTTGTGTGCAGAGGTTTGCTGCTGGCCTGGGTCGTTCCCTGCAGGAGGCCCAGGCAGGTGAGGTGGAGGAGGCCGAGACTGTGAGCGCCATGGCCTTGCTGTCGGTGGGGGCCGAGCAGGCCCAGGCTGCTGCAGCCAGGGAGCACAGCCCCAGGTGAGGTTCCTCCCACCTCTCTGCCCTGGTCCACGCTGGGGAACCCACTGAATGCCCCTCCTTGTGCTTGTCCCCACAGGCCAGCAGAGGAGCCTATGGAGCAGGAGCCTGCCCTGTGATACCCTGGCCCCCATCCCTCTGGGCTTCATCATTGTGATTTTGTTTATTTTTTCTATTAAAAACAAAAAGTCACACATTCAACAACGTGTGCCGTGTGGGTCTCTCAGCCTCGCCCCTCCTGCTCCTCTAAGCTGCCTCAGGCCCCCTCCCCTGCGGCCCACACCTCAGCTCTACACGTTTGCTCCCTCTGTATGGTGTGGGGGTGCCCTTTGCAGCCCCTCTCCCACATTGTATCTCACACTCAGTTTCCTGAATCCTGTCCTTTCCCCCTTGGAGCCTAGGCCAGCTCAAGGTGGGCATGGGGGCCCAGATAGTACCTTCTGGTTCTGGAGTTGGCCTGAGTGAGGAGGGAACGGGAAGTTTGGTGCCTTGGATTCAGACGACTTGGAGGGAATTGCCTTAATTTCACCCTCCTCCCCTCTCTAGCCTTGGGAGGTTCTGGAGGGTCCCTCTACAGTCTAGGATGTAGAGTGGAGGGGAAGGTGGGCTCCTGCCTGATGGTTCCCCATCATTTTTTCCCTCTGTTGTCTTCACCATCTCTGCACAGACTTCTTCTCCTCCCTCCCGGCCTCAGCCCTGAAGAGAAGGCCTGTGCCCTAGGATGTAGACCAGAGGTCTGTGGGCATGGCTGTCTTGCTTTACACCCCTCAGGGCCTATTTCCCCTTCCAGGGGCTGGAGAGGGTGGGGAGGGTGGGGCTGGACTTCTGGATTCTGAGAGGCCTGAGGGAGCCACAGATCAAGGCCTGCTTTCTACCTTAGTCTGTTGTCCTCCCTGCCTGTCTGCTGGCACAGATGGCGGGGTGCAGGAGCAGGGAAGTGGTCCCTGCAAGGGGGTGCCTCAGGCTGGTGGGAGTGCCCCTGCTGTTCAGAACCAGATTTCCCTAGTCACCCAGCTGCAAGACGGGTCAGCGGCCCACCCTTTCCCTCCCAGGACCTTTTGCTTCAAAGCCTAGGGATGGCAAGAACGGGAGCTGTGAAGGGGCAGGGCCAGAACCCAGAAACCCAGGAGTCTGCCTTCAGCTGGAGCTTCCATTCCTGGGCTTCCTTAGCTGGCCACCAGCCCAAGGGAGCTAAGACCAGGAGGGGGTTCCACTCTTGCTCTTCTCCAGGAGCCTAGCCCTGTTTCTGGGGCTGGGGGCCCACAGGTTTCTAGGGAGTGCTGTCCAGCCTGTAGGAAACCAAAGACGGGACATGGTTCCTAGGGGGCTGAGTCTCCCTCCCTCCTCCTTCCAACACCACACACACTTTTTTGCCCAGCTGGGAAAAAGGAAAGTCCCCATCCCTGGGGCCCCGCCAATCTGTTTACACATTTATTACCCTAATGGGGGCCTGAGCAGGGTTGAGGGAGCCAGGGGAGGGGCAAGAGTCCCACCATCATCAGTTCATTGTGCGCTTGTGTCCTGTGTGTTGTTAGTGTGTACTAGACCCTCCTGGGGGCCGGGGCTGGGGCGTCAGGCCTCCTGTGCCGAGCCCCCGCTCCGGACCCCTTACCCTCCATCTTCCTGTGGCCGGTCTGGTTCCCATGTAAACCCACTCCTTGCTTTGTCTCCCCGGACGTGGTTTTCAGTTAAGCATTTTGTAACCCATTCCATGGTGTGTCCTTGCATAAATAAATGTGTTTCTGGCAGTGCCTTCTGGGGCCAGTGTCTCTGTTCTCTGGGCTCCCAAATGGAGTTGAGATTCTTATTTACCCTCTTGGCCAAATAAATAAATAAATAAACAGAAACAAAACCCCACAAAACTCCTCTCTGGCCCCTGAACTAACCAAGGAAACAGGGGTCTGGGGTGGCAGGGGGTATCTGTCCAGTAGGTTAAAGACAAGGTTTCACTGAACGTAGCCATAGCACCATATGAGTGGGACCAGTCATGTGGCCTAGGCATCTGGGTACCCAGGGCTGAAGGTCTCAAGTGACTCTGTAGCCCTCCCCTTTGCCTTTGACGCTGCCTCTGCAGAAACAGGGCCGCAGGGGTGGAGAACAGGCGGCCCAGCCGGGATTCCGCACACACAGGCAAGTTCACTGGAGATACGCACACAGGCAAGAAAGTCCGGAAGTGTTCAAGGGCTTTATTGGGACCACTCAGCCCCTCACAGTGTAGTGGGAACCCACTGGGCTTGCTGCTGGCTTTGCTTTTTAGGGACTTTGAAGGGAAGGGAGGAGGACAAACCTTTCTGGGAGAGAGAAGGCCCTTCTTTGGGGTTAAGCCAGGTCATGGAAAAGTGGGAAATTCAAGATAAGCAGGACATTTGGGGCGGGGCTGGGAGGGCTTGGGGCTGCCTCCTGCAGCGGTGGCTTTGGAGAAGGAACCTGAAGTCAGGAAGAGCGGATGGGGGGTGCTTCTTGGGCACTGAATGTGAGCACCACCCAGGGCACGAGGGCCAGGACCAGGCATGGCCAGAAGGTATATTTGAGGAAATTGAAGATGTAGAAAAGGCTGATCTGAGGGGGGTGGCCCAGCCATTCCAGGGGGCCCAGCAGCCCCATGGCCAGCACAAGGCAGGCTATCTTCTGGCCCTTTCCCATGTATGCTCGCCGGACTTGGGCATAGCAGGGGGAGTGCAGGGCAACGCCCAGACCCAGGGCGGCCCCCGAATCACGGCTCAGGGAGGCGAAGGGTCGGCTGTCCATGTGCACCCACTCTGGCCGCTCACACCACTTGGAAGCTAGGTGGATGGACCTGTGGGCAAGAAGAGCCTTTGCCAGGAGAGACGTTCCCCTCGGCCCTAGAACGCTGATGGCTCTCGCCTCCTTCGGGGTCAACCCCTGTGTTCTGCTGAGACCCCAGGACAGTCTGTGTTTGTGAACACATAGTGTGTCCTTTTTTTAGCTACAATGAACTAGAGACCACCCCCCCCCAGGCTAGGTAAAGTGAGGCAGGACAGGCCCAGCCTGCCCAAGCTTCAAAGCAGGACCTACCATGAAAGATCCAGGCCCAATGTAAAGAGGGTCCAGTAGATGAGGCTGGCACCCAGCAAGAGGGCCAGTGAGGTTAGCCCGTAGAAGCTTAGCTCTCGTTCCATGGGCACCCGGGGGGCCATCAGCCAACCCAGGACAGCACCTGGGGGAGTGAGATGACAGCAGCTTCAAGGAGTTTGGGGACATGACCCCCTCAGAGCGACAATGCAACTTAGCAGAACACAGACATAAGGGAAGTCTTGGGGTTGTGTGTACTATGGGAAAATCCTAGACTGGCCCTCCCACTGCCAACAGCACCCTCTGGGCCCATCCTGTTGTCCCAGTTGCTCACCGGTTATCAGGCCAGCCAACACCTGGTGAGGGAAATGTGCTAAGAGGAAGATCCGGGACAGACCGACAGCCAGTAGGAAGGTGCAGTAAGCCAGGCTTGGCATCATCCTCACCCAGCGGCTACAAAGAACAGAGGCAAATGGTCCTGGGGCTATCCAGACACAGCTCAGCTTCCCACAGGCTAAGTGCCCGGGGTCCCCAGAATTCCAGCTCCTGAACTGCCCTGTTGTTGGGTCTTACCATTGCCCCTGCCCCCCTGTACCTGGGGGCCACTTGGGCCCAGGCGTACCTGTGGGCCCGAGTAGCCACCTGGGAAGAGATGGCTGTCATTATAGGCCAGAGGGCTGCTCCTGTGATCATGCAGTGTCCAGAAGGGCTGCCTATGGGGGACAGAGAAGCTTGTGGTGAGAGGATGGGGGCAGGACCCAGATGCTCAACATAGCCACCTGTCCCTGGCTAGAAGAGAGCCCTCCCTCAGCACTGGTCTGTAGCTCCCTCTCCCTGAGGCCACTGCTCTCAGGCTGCTCCTTGACCCGTGTCTCTTGGCTCCACTCTAAACCCGGTGGGCAGCTGGCACACGGGTATGTACCGGCTCTCCCCCAGAATTCAACTAGTTCCTCCTGGGGTTTCTTTGTCCTCCGTTTTGGTAACTATGAGGCTGGGCCGCCCCAGCTGAAAAGTGCTCTGAAACACTCACCCAAATCCTAACCATACTGGGAAAGGGAGGTTTGAGCCTTCTCACCTGGACCAGTTTCACAAGAAGAGGGAAACTGGTGGACCTGGACTGGGGCCTGGCTGTAGTACCCAGACTCATGGACCCACCAAAAAGGCCTGTCCCCAAAGAGCAACCTAGAAGAGAACAGAAGCAAGACGATATTATGCGCACACAGGGCCAAGGGTACAGGAGAGGGGCAGAAGAACACCCGGGAGTACTCTGGAGGGCCTGCAAGGCGGAGTCGGAAAGGCAGTCCCATTCTGTGCCGTCCCATTGCCCTGGATGTTTACCCTGGAATAGGAGAAAGCACACTTGTCTTTTAGAACGTGATAAAGAGGTAAGAGATTGTGGTCGGTGTTGGGGAGTGTGTGTGTGCATGCACGCTCTGAGGTGCTCAAACGTCCTCCTCCTACCCCTCCCACTGCAGGACCAGCTCTGCTCTTCTAACCCATAGAGAGCCCAGGACCTCTCATTGGGCTCCTCCCAGAGCCCAGAGCTTCTCCCTCTCTCCATTTCCCCAATTCCAGCCTGAATTATCTACACCGGAATTACTACTTAGGTAAGCTGCTTATGTCTGAAAATGGGAGTGGGGAATGGACGGAGGAGGCTGAGAAAGACCGAGGAGGACAAAAAATTCAAAATTTCCTGGCCTAGGAGGTGCGTGGCTGGACCCTGGGAAAAATCGCAGTGAAGAGGCTGCTCTGGCCAGAAAGAGAAGAGGTGGGAGAGCAGAAGAGAGGCTGGCAGAAAAATCAAGTGCTGGGGAGGAAGGAAATAGAGAAGGAACTGCTGCTCTCTACCGAAAACTGATCCTCGTTCTCACCCCAACCAGGTGCTCAATACAGACTCGGCAAATGAATGGGGGTTTTGTCAAGTGCGGGGCATGAAGAGTGTCTACCTACGGGGGTGATCTGACTCTTAGGGGAACAGGCCTAGAGAAGGAGTCTTCTACAGACTCGGAGGGAGAACATAAAGGAAAGGACAATCAGAAGAAAATTATTAGACAACTGTTTTCTGTTTACAGTAGGGGTGAAAGTCTTGCAGAGAAAAGTAGAAGGGAAGGCAACTCTGATTCCATTTTTCAGCAAGTCATTCCAGCCCGCGTGTCTGTCACCTGTGAGCCTCCCTTCCCTCCGCCAGGCTGGGGATCTGGCAACAGGGGCTGAGGTGCACCCCGGGTGGCACAGAGATGAGCCCCAAGGACCCCACCCGTTGCCTGGTACTGCTGGCTTCTAAGTCTGCGTGAAAACCCTACCAGCGAATGAAGGAGAAGACAATGCTTGAGTCCCAAGCTTTTCAGACTTTACACACAAATACCCAGGGTTCTGGCCAAAATGCAGATTCTGATGCAGTAGTTCTGGCTCTGGGCCTGAGATTCCACACTTCTAGCAAGTTTTCAAGTGCTCCCTATGCTGCTGGTCATGTTCTGGGGCGCACACTATAACTTGCAAGCCTTCTCTGACTTTAGCAGATAGCGTGATGCCTGGCACAAAGCATGCTTTTTAAGAACAGTGTCAAATGAATGAATAGATGAATGAAAACGGGCTGAGAAGCAGGACTATAGGTTACTTAAGTCACCATAGGTACTTGTGAAGCTTTAGATTCCCAGCCCCTCTGCTGGAGTTTCTAAATCAATGTTTTAGGTGGGATGTGGTACCTGCATTTTAACCATGTCCCTTGGGTGGTTTCTGATAAGGGCCTTTTGAGAAACACCAGTCTAATAAGTAGGTAGGGAGTATGAAGTCTGAATACAAGATGGGAAGTCTTAAGGCCATGGGGTTCACTGGTGGGGGGTGAGGGTGGAAGGTGGGGAACACCCAGGCCTTTGAGGCACCTGCTGGAAGATCAGGGCTTGCACAGGACTCAGGGCCCCTGAGGGTGGGGGAGCAGGCCACAGGAGGGCTTCGCTATCTCACCACTTGAAGACGAGGTTGAGCCACTCGGTGATGAGGCTGATCCAGAGCACTGCGATGCCCACGCGGCGAGAGGCATAGTAGGCCGCGGGGAAGTAGAACAGAAAGAGGCTCTTGGGATCGCCCAGAAAGGTGACCCAGAGCCACACTTTCTCCAGCCAGGGCAGCTGGTTCTGTAACGCTTCGGCTATCGCGATGCCCGCGCCCAGCGTGGACTCCATGGCGACCCAGAGGTTTGTTCTAGGGCAGAAGCCAAGGAGTCCGGGCGACAAGGATGAAACTACTCACTGCCCTCCGAAGCCCACCCAGACGAGACCCAGGCCCCACCTTTCCTTCCAGAGACCAGTTCAAGCCCCGCCCCACCCTACCCCTCCCCGCCCCGCCCCGCCCCTAGCAGTTCCAGGCTCCCGCGAGCCTGGTTCTTACCACACCGTTTCCTCCCGTTCTCTTCTTCGGCCTTCCTCTCTACTGGGCAGCGCAGGGGACAAATCTTTTTGAAGGCGTTTCCGCAAATCTCCACGTGGCTGCTGTTGCTGGCACGTGGGCTTCGGGTGCATAAGTGGGTACCGCCGCTGTTCTGGGTGAAAGGGTGGACTAACCTCAGGGTCTGCAGCACGCTCAACGTCCCTGCTTTGCTGCAGCGAAGATGGATGTGTAATTTCTAGGGATTCCTTCCAGATCAGACCTCCCCTCTTCAGTACTGCTACCCTCCAAATATATCCTGAGATCTCTTGGACAGGGGGCTACGGACCCCTCCTCCACCAGGGAGCCAGGCATTCCGGTCCGCGTTAAAGTGGGGTTCTAAATTCACCACTGAACAGCCCGTGCCTTCCTCCCCAAATCCGAAATTCTCCCACTGGAATTCATCCACGATTGATTTGGAGGCTCACAGACAAGCCTTTGATTGTGGGGAGTCTTTCCTAAAGGTTTGCAAATTCTTACACACAGGACAGCCTAAGTCGTACTACCAGTTCTAGGCTTGCCTTGTCCCCTTCCTTGCATCCTCCTATCTCCACAAACCCCGTGGAGCAGATAATCCATGAGATAATAGGTGTGTTGGAAGAAAAGGGGCACACACCCCAACAAAGTTGGTAATAATCTTATGGAGGAACAGAAACTTCAGCTATTCTGGGCAAGGCCCTGCACAGAGGCAGAAGCGGGCGAGGCCAGAGACCACTGAAGTGACTACTCAGTTCCTTAGCTCAAGCAACTTTGTTCTTGGAGTTTTCTGATGGATGGATCAAAATGAAAATGTAAATTTGGATTCTTCTTGGAAAGAGATGAACTTCATGAATTCAAAAGTTGTGGGAAAGGCAAGCTGGTGTAAATCTCATGTCATGCACTTGATAATTGCCCAATGGAGAAAATGTTTTTCAATTGCCCAATGGAGAAAGCCTAGATTTTCTTTCTTTTCAAGATTTTATTTATTTTTAGGGAGAGAGGAAGGAAGGGAGAAAGAGGGACAGAAACATCAATTGCCCAAGCTGAAGACTGGGCCCAAAACCCAGGCATGTGCCCTGACCAGGAGGAATCAAACTAATGACCCTTCGCTCTGTGGGACGACCCTCAACCAATTGAGCCACGCTGGTCAGGGTCAAAACCTGTTTTCTGTCCTTGAAAGGTTGCTCTGGGTTCTAGCCAAACAACCTTTGACAGACTACCCTTAAACTCAATTTCATAGTAGCTACTCTATATTCCTAGAAATCACCAAACTCTCATCTTAGGTGTCCTGGTACACGCTGTTTCTTCTGCATAGATAGAACACTCTCTTTCCCTACTTTTCCTTCAGGTCTGATTTTTCACTTCCTTCAGGAAGCCTTTCCTAACTGTGCCTGGCAGTGATATATGAAAACCTATGATCACAATGCCGTATAAGAAGTGGAGTGGCACTTACATGTTTGTTATGGGGGCCAGACATGAAAGCTCTCTGAATAAACACAAGTATGAAAGATCAGTATGTTTCTTCCTACTAAGTGACTGTACTAACCAGATACACCCAATATTAGGAAGTTGATGTCTCTTGCAGGGCAAGGAGGCACTTCTGAACTTTGTTCAGGTTAAGTGGTGCCAGGGCTGGCTCTTTGCCTCTCTCTGGTCTAGAGAAAGGTCAGCCTGTTGTTACTCATCCGTGGTGCTTTAGAATCTATATGGGGGGAGTGGAGGGCAGGTAGGTTAGGAATGGCAATTAGTGATGACAGGGCTTAAAAATTAATCTACATAGTACTTACATATACTATGGGTGGGCTGCACTCTTGCCCTGAGGCACACTTTGTCACTACCACTGCTCCTTACTCCTGCTGTTTGCCTGGATTTCTAGAGAAGATGGCAAGATAGAACTGAGATGGAGAAGCATCCTGAGTTCCAAGGGTGATGAGTGATCATAGAATACCTGCCATTTATCTACATATGATATGCCATACATTTATACACTTAACCTCATTTAACTCCTAACTACTCTGAGGTATTATCTAGTATAGTATAGTGTAAATAGCGCCGTTTTTAGAAACAGGGAGACTAAATCCTTGCTAGTTGTGAGGCCCTGGACTAGTTCAGTTTCTGTAAGACTTGGTTTCAACTGTAAAATGAGGATGCTCAATAAGTGTTAATACAGAAGGAATAAAGTAATAGAATCAGGGGAAAAAAAAACAGAATGAAAAGTTTCCACTACCATTTTGTAACGAAGTATAATCATTTTGGGCAAGTTTCGTGTTAAGTGTTCTGGACCTTACATTCCTCACATGTGAAATACAGAGTTCATTCAACAAACTCTTGTGTCAAGGCGTGGATATGCTGGAGACTGCAGTTCCCTCCTTCTTTCCCTTTTCATTCCACGTAGGTTATTCATCTTTAACTTCTAAAACGGACTCAACAATTACTTTACCAAGCGGGTACAGTACCGCACAGTGAACTCTAATTATTCAGCGTCCCCTTTATTTTCTCTTCCTTCCTTTTCCTCCTAGGCTCCCGCCCCACCCAGCGCCAGACCACGCCCCGACGTGTGACGTCATCGCGCCGTGCGTCGCGGCGCGGCGCTCACTGGGCGCCCGGCTTTCGCCCGCTGCTGCCGCCGCCGCCGCCGCCGGCCGCGGCTGCTCTCCCAAGATGGCGGCTCCTCCGGGCGAGTACTTCAGCGTTGGGAGCCAGGTGTCGTGCCGGACGTGCCAGGAGCAGCGGCTGCAGGGCGAGGTGGTAGCCTTCGACTACCAGTCCAAAATGCTGGCTTTAAGTATCCTTCCGTGCGTGGAGCCCGAGGCCGGGCCGGCGTGTACGTGCGGTGGTGGAAGGGTGGGGGACGACGGCAGCGGCTGGGGCCCTCTCCGGGCCTAGGGGCGACCGGCCACCGCGGCGCCCGGAGCGCATGCGCACGGCCCTGAGCTCCCCTCCCCCTCTCGTGGGTCCCTCGATCCTCTTTGGGGACCCTGTCTCCTCCCCCCACCTTGTAGGAGCTGGGCCCCGTGCGAGGGGTCGGTGGGTGGAGGGGGGCTTGACACGGGATGGCTTTTCGAGGGGGAATGATATGAGAGGGGACACAGTGATCTGGAGAGGGGCTGGTCGTGGGAGGGGGTTGGGAGATTGGAACCTGGATAGAAGGGGGGCGGATAAAATCAAGTGGGGATGGGGTGTGTAGAGTAAGGAACTGCTAGTAGGGCAAGGGAAGAATATGCAGTTTAGGATCGGGGTGTCTACTGATGGGATTTGGTCCAAGAAAGCTGATGGGGTGGTGACCAAATGGGCCTTGCCTGTTTGGAGGGGAGAGTAACTGAAAAGCAGAGTTCACATCTGAACTGGGGATTAGGGCTCCTTGTGCTGGTTCGTGTGTGTCTGCGTGGTGCCATTGGGGCCGAGGAGTGCTGAATTTTAGGTTTCTCAGTCATTTGGAAATTGCTGTTCGGGGGATGTTTACATTGGAAAACTGGTTCAGACAGAGAACCACGTTTTTCAGGGGCTTATGTTGATGTGTGGGTTACAGGTGAAAGAGTAAGTTATGTTCTGATGCTCAGCCGAGCACACATGGAGTCCCATAGAAGTAGCCTCCCCTTTTGAAAGTAGCAGTGATACATGGAATGGAAAAGGTGGCCTGCTTCTTTGGGGTGGAAATGATTTGTGAGTTACTCCAGGAAACTCAGTCTTGGAAACAAAATATTTCCTGGTTGTAATAAATGTACCACCCCTTCCCCTTTTATTTGAGCCATAAGTGGGCTTAAGTTTTTTTGTTGAGTAGTAATCCTTTATAGCATCTTTCAAAAGGAAGTTTCCTACTGAGTCTGCTGCATTTGAGTGGCAAGGGTTTTAATTCATTTAACCACTAGTTGTAGGTTTCTAGCTTAGGAAGCAAGAACAATTGCTTTTTTTTTTTTAATACAAGAATTTATACCTGGACCAGATAGGACCTTTTAAATTAGTGGTTTAGATGGAAGGGTTTGGGAATGAGGAATTAGTCTGCTTTTAATTGGCATACAGTATGCTCTTAGTAAATGGTTGGAGATTGAGTGGAATGAATGAATGAATGGGTTAACCAGCTGGGTCACCTGAGTCAGCTTCTTTTGTAGTGTAGGTCTATAGTTTTCTCCTCTGCAAAATGGGAATTCTCAAATCTGGAAAGGTGATGAGCGCTGTGCAGCCAAAGGGAGTGTTACACCAAGACCAGAAAGCATTGATTGCCTCTTCTGTGTGGTTCCTTAAGTTCAAGACAAAGAGTGTACACAAGGCATTAAAGCCACATTATGCCTTTCCATTAAAACCGGTTGAGAAGGTGACAGAAATCCTTTTGTGGCTTCTAATTTTAATTGTATGTGGCTTTGAAAAGCTTGAGATCTTTTGATTATGAGGTTAAACAGAGGGAAGGTGACAGGCAGAGATTTCATGGGGAGAGAGTGATTCTTGTAAGGCTGCCCGTCTGCTGGTGGCACACCTTTACCCAAGCCTTGTGTGAATTGTGTTTTCCATGTCCCTTTCGGGACGTGTCAGTGCTTTGCTTGCCCGTGTTTTCCTTAACTTTGTTTTTTCACCAGAATGTCCCTCTTCCAGTGGAAAGCCCAACCACGCAGACATCTTGCTCATAAACTTACAGTATGTTTCAGAAGTGGAAATAATTAATGACCGAACAGAAACCCCTCCTCCCCTAGCTTCACTCAATGTTAGTAAGGTAAGAACTTGAGGGTAGCTGGCTCTCTGAAATGGTGGGAAAATGGAGTCTCATTGACTCTTGGTAATACATACATTATTCATTGTCATTTTTTCATTGACTTAAAATTGTTTCTTCTGATTTCTTTTTTTTTAAGGAAATTTTTTCTTTTTTCTTTATTGGTTTTAGAGAAAGGTGGAGGGGGGGTGAGAGAGAAACATCGATTTTTGTTTATCCATTCATGCATTCATTGGTTGGTTCCCTTACCCCTATTAATGCCCAAACAGAGAAGTAAAGTTGAGAGCTTGCTTTTGTCCTTTGTGAAAGAGGGCTTTTTTTTTTTTTTTTTTTTTTTAAGCTGGAGTCCATTAGCGAACTTCTGGAGTTGGTGGGGTCAGGTAGGGCAGTTGTCTGTGAGACTCCTGAGATTGTGTGTGCGTGCACATGTGAATATATATTTGTCCTATCTGTGTAGGAAGGGAGGAAGGTAAAGAGTGTTTGTCAGATTCTCAGAGAATCATGACCTACAGAAATCTCTAAACCACTGCCCCGGAGCTTCATTATGATCTTTACGTTTGAATTTTGAGGTCTAACAGAATTAGAGAGTTAGGATATTTTACTCTGTGATGCACAAATTGATCTCTGGGAACCCCCAAATCACTTTTTTGACACTTCAGTTCAATCAGCCAAAGTTCATATTGAATAATTATCATAATAATACCCCAAGCCTTCTTGTAGCCTTTGCTGTCTCCTGTACTTGAACGCTCCTTCCAAAACAACTGGAGCCTGTGCATCAGGACTTAGGGAAATGGCACCTCTTCTAAGGAGTCTTTGCTTACCCAGGCTAAAGTAATCGCCTCCATTATTTTCTCGTATAATAGCTTATCCTTCGAGATAAAGTGACTTATCATTTATAGTCCATCCTGGGACGGTCTCTGTGTTTTACATGGAGACAAGTATAGATCAGCATGTCCTGGGTGCATTGGGACCTAAGGTCACCCTAGTCATAGCCTTTTGGTAATTATAATTGTGTATCATTTGTTTACTTTCTATCATCAAATTTTGTTTTGTCAGGATGGGAACTACACTTGTTTTGTTTATTACTGAATATATAGAGCATTGCGCAGAGTAGGTGTTCAATAAATATTTGGTGAGTGAATAAGTTAGGCTTTCAATTTTAGTAGCATCTGTCCCTAGGTCTCTTGAATTGGTGTGATGGAAGTTTTTCCCTCAAGAGAAGTCTTTTAATAATGTGTATTCTCTCTCTTTTTTAAAAAAGATTTTATTTATGTATTTATTTATTTTTTAGAGAGAGGGGAAGGGAGGGAGAAAGAGGGAGAGAAATATCAATCAGCTGCCTCTTGCAGGCCCCCAACTGAGGGCCTGGCCTGCAGCCCGGGCTTGTGCCCTGACCAGGAATCGAACCAGCGACCTTTCAGTTCGCAGGCAGGCCCTCAATCCACTGAGCCACACTAGCCAGGGCATAACATATATTCTCTTGCCTGTCTTGGGAAAGTGGTGTGTTTGCTAAGAATTGAGCAAAGCAAGGAAATACTTGAGCAGCTGAAACAATGGATGGTAACTGAGGCTAGCAGAATGTGGTTACCTCAGATACAGAACTCCCTTCTTTGCAGATTCCAGGGAAATACATTTTTTTAGTGATGGCTGTGGATAGATTGGGAAGCATCTTGGGTTTCAGATTAAAGGCTGTTGCGGACAGAACATCCCATTCTTAGAAACATAAATATTTTTGAAGTCCTGGCTTGGTCAGGTACCTCCTTCTAGAGTATAGGCACTAATTAGGTTGTCTTTTATTATCTGAAGAGATTTAAAAAGATTGAAGTGAAATAGTTTATTCCTAGTACGTTGAGAGAAGTACATTTTAAGTTATTCTTAGGTGTTTATGTGGTATATGGAGTCTTTTACTAGATCAATGACTTTCAGCGATTAGTAGAGGAAAGATAACCTGAGAAATGATTTCTCCAGATTTGAAAGAGACTGACGTCTGTGCTGTGACCCACAGGTCACATCTGAGAGGGCTCAGAGTGGGTGGGTGGGGTCGTTAAGATGTTCTCTTACATTTGACCTCAAATATAAATACAGGGTGGGGCAAAGTAGGGTTACAATTGTTTGTACAAGAATGAATGAATATTACAAAATAATCTGTTTCATGTACTCACAACTGTAAACCGACTTTGGCCACGCCCTGTAGTTGGTGGTTATTTACTTTGTAGTTTATCTTTGCTTTTATGATTGTACTTTCTGCTTGTCAGTTTTATTTGTTTACTAGCACTGTTGTGAGCTAGGGGATTATCCCCTTGTTGAAGAAGGCAACAGGAAGTAATAGGTTGAGGAATACCGGAAATCTTGACTTCTTAACCTTGTGGCCTGCTTGCCAAGTCTTGAAAAAGGTATGCTGGGAAGGGCTGTCAGAAATTAAAGTTAGGTTGGAGGGCTATCTTTGGATTTCTTTTCAGTTCTTCCAGTTGTAGAGTTGTTCATGAGTAAGCTGTATTGGTTTCCCTTGAAACCAACCTTCAAGGCTGCTGTGTGATTCCTCCTTGAACTCATTTAGGGTTAGAAGAGCCTGCTGGGCTGTCACTGGAAACAGTTAATCTGGGCAGCTGTTAACATGGTGCTTAAATGACATGAAAAGATCATCTTATTTAAGAGCATGGACTTCGGGTTTTTTAAGATGGAGGATTGTTTAAGCATGTTAGAAAGAACCGAAGTACCCCGAGTTCCCCGAAAGAAAACTGTTGCTGCTCACAGTCTAGGGGAGTACTGTCTGGGACCTCCACTTCCGGTGGAAGATACCATCACATATTGGCTCATCTTGCTGACGTAGTAAATTGCTCTGTTTAATTGAACCTGTTGATATAAACTGTGTATTTGTTTACTCCGACCCAGCAGGAAATGGAAGAGAAGGCCTTTTAAAGGAAATACTAAATTCCAGCCCAACTAGAGAAGGTATGAACTAGCAGTTGGAGATGAGCCTGTTTTGCTTTCTGTTGGCAGTTCACTGCGGGCTGAGAAGTCCTCTGTCTGTCCACAGCAGTGGGATGTAAGAGGAAGCTTGGAAGAGGACAGTGGAGTTGCATAAGGTGGAAGTTTTGAATATCATTTTCTCCACAGTAACATTGTACCTCTTAAAATGTTCCAAATTTCCTGACTGTTAGACAAAAGCACTTGAATTAAAGTACAAAAGCACACCAAAGCCAAACATAAGTGAGGTTCAGTTTATTTACTATGTGGCTTATTAGTTTGCTCTGTCATGAGGAAAGCCAAAATATTGCTTGAGGGTAAAAGCCCCAGGGTCCTCATGGTAAGGTGAATTAAGGGGATTCTTAACGAGTTCCTGTGAACTGACTTCACTCCTGGTTTTCGGGGGATAAAGAATGTGCACGGGTTAGTAGTGCTCACAAAAGATGATTTGGGCCTTGACCAGTGTGGCTTGGTTGGTTGGTCATGGTCTCACAAAGCGAAAGGTCACTGGTTTGATTCTTGGTCAGGGCCCAGGCCCAGGTTGCGGGCTCGGTCCCTGGTTGGGGCGAGTGCGAGAGGCAACTGATCCATGTTCCTTTCTCGCATCGATGTTTCTCTTCCACTCTTTCTCCCTTCCTCCTTCCCCTCTCTCTTAAAATAAAAGATGATTTGGGACATGTCAACATTAACAAAATATTCTTTAATGTAGCATTTATCAAACATTTACTGAAATCTGTTTTTGGAGAAGGCATTGCAGTGAGCTGGGGACCTTACCTTACTTCTTTCTAGTGCTTTGTAGTTTCCGAAGACCTTTGACACATCTCATTTCATCCTCACAGCAGCTTTCAGTGGTCTTGAGAGTGTGTTCTTTTCCGTTTAATTTAACAGACGATGAAAGTAGTCTTACCTGCTTATGTGACTGGTTCTAGATTATATGACCAGTGGTGTGGGAGCTGATGCTTGCACGTGCCACGCCCCGAACTAGCCATCGGTAGACATCTCATTCAACGCCAGCAGTGGCTCTTACGGGGCGGGTACATCACCGGCTCAGAGAAGAGTGAACTGAGGCTCAGACAGGATGAGTCACTAGCTCGAGGTCATACAACCGGCAGTAATAGAGCTGGGATTTGAACTCAGATCTGATACTTTGACGGCAGGGTTCTGTGTTTCTCCTGTTGCTGTGTTTTTAGCCTAGGGAGCTGACGCGGTAGTTGGGGACGTGAAACGAGCACCTAAATATCTGTGGTCCTGAGTAATGTTTCAGAGAGACACGTCTGCGTTGTGTGGTCAGGGCCAGTCTGTAAACAACACTAGAGGAATACTGGAACCAAGCAGATAAGTCGGGTTTTTTCCCCTCTCAATTTAAAGAAAAAAGATTTTAGTTATTTAGAGGGGGTAGGAAGCGAGAAAAAGGGAGAGAAACATTGATGTGTGAGAAATACATCAGTTGGTTGCCTTGCATGCCCCAGTTGGGGACCTGGCCTGCAACCCAGGCATGTGCCCTGACTGGGAATGAACCAGTGACCTTTGGGTTCGCAGGCCTGCATTCAATCCACTGAGCCACACCAGCCAGCGCAGACAAGTCTTTAAAGTCACTTCTCTGCCATTTAGCCTTGCTGAGCATCAGTTTCCTCACTGGAAAAATGAGGCGGTGTTAGTACCTGTCTCATAGAGTTGTTATGAGGACTGGTCCAGTTGACTGGACTTAGCAGATGTTAGTTCTCTTCTCCCATGCCAGCTGCGTGTAGCCATCTGGTGTTCCCGAATTACGGAGTAAGGGGCAAGAGGGGGAAAGGGTGGCAGTGCAGTGATGGGAATGCAGCCGAGAGCATCGATGCTATGACTGTGTCAGTCTTTCCTGGCACCGGACCCACATTCATTCAGATACTGGAACTTGCCAACCCAAGGTTGGGGAACATCAGAGTTGTATTGGATACCATTAATATGTAATAGCTTATAATTAAGAGGTGTTTTTAATAAGAGACTTCTTGTTGGTGTCCAGAATTAACTTGAATTTCCAGGGCAGTGTTCCGATG